GCAAAAATATGAAGTTGATCACTTCCAACAACCTACTTTAAGTATTTTTAAGTGTGATTTTTGTTTTGTTTGTTTGTTTTGTCCATTTTAATTTCCAAGGATTTCTACATGAACATATTTTTCTCTGCTTGTGTCTGGGTCTTTATGCAAATATCTGGTGTAAAGCAGCTTTTCAAAAAATCTCTGTGCTGTTCTTTCACCCAGGTCCACAACTGTTTATCTATGGGTGTTGCTGTTGGCTTGGGGAAGGTGAAACTCTTTCATGTCCAGAAGCCTTGCATTGGTGTTCTAATAAACAAGGACCTTGCCACTGGCTACAGCTCTGGTCTCCACCAGCATTTCACAGAGGTGTCAGGAGGAAATGGTTGGTTGGGGGAGTTTTCAATTTCCCAAAATGATTCCATGGGCTTCATGAAGTGGCTAAAGAGCCTGAAAGAACATCCAGATGTTGTTTCGTACTCCCTTCGACCTCTCTATCAGCTCGTGCCAAACAAGCTTCAAAAGAAAGCGGTGAAAGCTGCTATTGAGCAGTATTTGAAAGAAAATGCTGTGAAGAAATCACCGCAAGAGCCACACTGTGAGGGATCTACTCCTGATTTGTCCTCTAATTGCTGCCCTCTGCACGCCTCAAGGGGAACTCTATCAGTGACCATTGTTCGAGGCTGGGATCTCAAAGGAGATCCAGTTGGACAAACAGAAAGGTGGGTTGATGCAAAGGTAAAAAACAAAGACCTTATGGAACCTGATGAGCACACCTTTTATATGGCTCCTCTTTGTTCACAGCTATGCCAGGATGTACTATGGTTCCTTAAACCGCAAGACCCAAATCATCGTATCCGATAATCCTCAGTGGAACGCTGAGTTTAATTTGGGCAAGGTCAGTAAACATTATCATCACAGATTAGCTGAAAAAGCTCAACAACAGACACACTGATACATTTACGCTGCTGATGCAGCAGAATTCATAGATCTAATACCAGCATCTATTTTTACAAAAATAGACATTCATTTACCGGCAGTGAGGATAATTGGGTTTTTATGCATCAGTCTAGAGAGAAAGCTGATCTATTCTTTGGTGCCATCAAAACTATTTGTTAGCAAACATTTGATATTGGGTCAAATGTCATTTAATATCAGAAATGCATTGTAGTTTCAATTTCAACTAGATGATGTTAAGTTATTGATCATGAACTAATTTGTCCTTCAACTTGTTGCTCACATGAACCAGCAGCCACAATGACAAGAAAAGAGCACCTCCCTTTAGGCCCGACTCGTTCTTGTTTCGGTTCTCAGAACCAACCTGGGTGTCTGTGGACATGCGGCTCCCACACTCACTGCTCTGCTTAACCTGTTGTTGAGACAGGAAGTGCTGACCCTCTCTTATTGCTTTTACAAATAAATCATGAGCATAAAAACTTGGCTTTCCAAACTGAACAAAATGAACCTTCAATGTCAAACTAAAAACTTTTTTCCCAATTGTTTTCTCTGTCCTACTGATTGTTTATTTTTTATTTTTAAAAACCTGTTTGAAATAAATAAATCAAATAAGACAAATCAAAGTATAAAATGATATGTAATGCAGACAAACTGCATATTCTGAACTTGGGGAATGGACAATCAACTCCATTTCTAGATCCAAGCCAGGCTGCAGACTCTTTATGTTTTGGGATACTGGGTCAGCACCTGCATGAAAAAGTATTTGGTTTTACTTGAATAGACCATGCACATTTCATGGTGTTTATGGTCGAGTACAAATAAAAGTAAAAGCAGAAAAAAATCAGAAAATATTTGAACAGAAACCATTTTACACATATATTGTGTAAACAGACACAGCCTAGCTGATGTATTTCATATCTTGTGCTGTTGTGTTTTGGCTAACATTACTCTGCATTTATCAACTTTAAAACTGTTCAATACAGTTTTATTTTCTATATCACCTAAATAATTTGACTTTGAATGAGAAAATATGCATCTGAATGATCCTCCATTCAAATTTTCTCATGAAGGTTGACACAAGCCTGGAATTGAAGATCGAAGTTTGGGATGAAGACTGGATCCATGACGACCTTCTCGGAAAGTGCGTGAAGTACCTGAGCCCTGGCACTCACACTTTCACGTGCAAAGCAAAAAGAGGAGGCATTGAGGTTAAATACACGGTGACCTGTGACCCGTATCTGACTGGAGAAAAGTGCAGTCGTTATAAACCATCTCCTTTGTGACAAGAGATTGGTGAATTTTGGGAATGAAAGCATTTCAATTCATCATGTAACATTAACTCACTAAATCTGATAGAAAGTCACAATTTGTACTTAATCACTTAACTTTGTTAAAGACCTATCTAAATGTGTATTTATCACACAATGAAAAAATGTTAAGATTCTGTGTAACATTTAATCACAAGAAATAACTATGCTTTAATATATACAACCAGAAATTGTGTTCCCTTTAATGACAATAAAAATTTTGAAACTGCTACAAGTTGTTGACTTCATATATTTTTGAAAAACCTTGTATTAGTTATATGAACTATGTTTTATATCCTACCTTTGAGGAAACAGATTGTTATT